TACATTTCCCTGATAATATACCGCAGAGTGCCTTCCCATACCAAAAATACTAGAATGTAGTGTTGAAGGCTATATTTAGGCACCAGCTCAAACTCTCCATGTTCAATGACTTCTGTAGGTGTTGTCTTCAGCAATGTGGCCTTGCTGTCAGTCTGTGGAGAAAAAGATCCTGGATTGTTTGAGGGAGGTTCTCGGGGCCCCTGTGACCAACAACTCAATGAGATATAATCCAATCCCAGTACTGGAAGCTCTGTTTAGTGACAAGAGATGGCCACCTGAGACTCCATCTTCCTCATTTAGAGACTTCATTAGGATTGCCTTCATGTATTTTAGGAAGATTTCACTCTTCTAGGTTTCCATATTGTTTCTCAAATGCCCCTCCCTTCTAGCTGTCTTTCCCTGAATTCCATGTCCTTTCCCCTTCCACACCTGATCCTGCTGTTCCCATTGACTCCTGACCCCAGTCCACCCATAACATCTATTCCATTTCCCCCTCCCAAGGAGATCCACGATCACCCTAGCCCTTTCCTATATTCCTAACCTCCCTTGGTCTACAGTTTATAGCTTAGTTACCATTTATCAACAGAAAATATCTACTTATGAGTGAATAGAATACATCAGATATGATTTTTCTGAATCGGGGTTAGCTCACTCAGGATGATTTTTTTCTAGATCCATCCATTTGCCTGCAAATTTCATGATGTTATTTTTTTAATAGCTGAGTAATGCTCCATTGTATAAAGCATTACTTTTTCCTTATCTATTCTTCAGTGGAGGGACTACCTTCAGTGTTTCCAGTTTCTGGCTATGATGAATACAGCAACAGTGAACATGTTTAAGCAAGTGTCATTGAGATAGGCAGAAGTATCCTTTGGGTGTATGCCCAAGAGTTGTATAGCTGGGTCTTGAGTTAGATTGTTTCCCATCTTTTTCAGGAACTAGCATACTGATTTCCATAGTGGTTATATAAGTTCCCACTCCCACCTGCTATGGTGGAGTGTTCCCTTTATTCCATATGCTGGCCAGCATCAGCTGTCATTTGTATTATTTATCTTAGCCATTCTGACATGTGTAAGTAGTTGTGATTTGCATTTCCTGGTAGCTAATGATGTTGAACATTTATTTCTTTATTTCTTTAAATATTTCTGGACCATTTGAGTATCCTCTATTGGGAGTTTTCTTTTTAAGTCTTTAACCCATTAATTCTCTATTAGATGTGAAGTAGGGAAAACACTTTTCCCATAGTGTCCTTAGCATTACAGAAATTATTCAGTTTCTTGAGGTTCCACTTATTAATTTTTGGTCTTATTGCCTGTGCTACTGGTGCTACTGGTGTTCTGTTTAGAACATGTCCCTTGTCAAAGGATGTTCCCCACATTCTATCAGGTTCAGTGTATCTGGTCTTATGATAAGATTTTTGATCAATTTGAAGTTGAATTTTGTGCAGGGTGATAGATATGGATAGATATGGATCTATTCACATTATACATGCAGACATCTAGTGTGACCAGCCATTTGTTTAAAATTCTCTCTTTATTCCAGTGTGTGTTTCTGGCTTGTTTATCAAAACAGATGTCTGTAGGTATGTGCCTTATGTCTGGATTTTTCAATTCAATTCCACTGATCAACACTTCAATTCCATTGATCAACACATCTGTTTTTATCCTAATAGCATGCTATTTTTATTACTATAGCTTCATAGTACAACTTGAAATCAGGAATGGTGGTATCTCCTGCAGTTCTGTTATTGTTCACGATTGTTTTAGCTGTCCTGGGTTTTTTTTTTCCATATGACACTGAGAATTGACCTTTCAAGATCTATCAAGAATTTCATTGAATCTGTAGACTTCTTTTAGTGGGATGAACTTTATATACTTTGTTTAAAAAAAAACACTTTCCATCTTCTAATGTCTTTTCTTATTTCTTATTTCAAAGCATTGAATTTTTGTCATACAAGGCTTTCACTTGTTTGGGTACAGTTACCCCAAGATATTTTGTATTAATTTTGGCTATTGTGAATGGTGTTGTTTTTTTTTATTTCTTTCTCAGTAAATTTATCACTTGTATATAGGAATGCTACTGATTTTTTTAGTTAATCTTGGATCTAGCAACATCACTAAAGGTGTTTATCAGCTGTAGGAGCTCCTGAGTAGAAATTTTAGGGACACTTATGCATACTATTGTGTCATCTGCAAATAGCAAAAGTTTGACTTCTTCCTTTCCAATTTGTATCCCCCTTGATTTACTTCAGTAGTCTTATTGCTTTAGCTAAGAATTCAAGTACTATATTGCATAAGTATGGAGAGAGTGGAGAACCCTGTGTTATTCCTTATTTTAGTGGAATTGATTTCATTTTTTCTATGTTTAAATTGATGACTATGGGCTTGCTGTAAACTGCCATTATCCCTAATCTCTCCAGGACTTGTGTTTTTATATTAATTAATTTTTCCCAGTCCAATGACAGTTTCCCCTCCCAGTCTCTCTTTCTTACACTTCTACTCCTCAGTTCTCCTCAGGAGAGTACAGGCCTCTCGAGTATATCAGGCAGTCGTGGCATATCAAGTTGCAGTAACATTAGGCACCTCCTCTCCTGTTAAGGCTGGATGATGCAACCCAGTAAGAGGAAAGAGTCCCAAAAGCCGGTAACAGAGTCGGAGATAGCCCCTGCTCCTTCTGTTAGGAATGTCACAAGAAGACCAAACTACAAAATTGTAATATATGTGAAGAGGGCTTCAGTCAGTCAGTCCCATGCAAGTTCTCCTGTTGGCAGTTTAGTCTCTGTGAGACCCTAAAATCCGAGGTTTGTTGATTCTGTGAGTTTTCTTGTGGTGTCTTTGGTCCTTATGGCTCCCTTAATCCTTTCTGTCTATTTTCCACAGGATTCCCTGAGATCTGACTAATGTTTGGCTGTGGGTCTGCACAGGTTTCTACCAGTTAGTTGGTGAAACCTCTCTGATTACAATTGGGTTAGGCAACAATCTGTGGGTATAACAGTATTTCATTAGGAATAACTTCATTGACTTTTCTTCTTTTTTGCCAGTCATGGTTGGTTCTATCCTAGGTTTCTGGGTATCCAGTCCCTGGGTTCTGGCCCTCTAGACTGTGTGAGGTATGGGCTCACTTTCATAGTATGGGTCTCAAGTCATTGATTGGCTACACCCATAGTTTCTGCTCTACCTTTGTCCCAGCATAGCTTGTAGGGAGGGCAAATTGTAGGTCAAAGGGTATGCAGCTGGGTTTGGGTACCAAGCCCTCCAATGGAACTCTTACCTGATGACAGGAGATGGCCACTTTGGCACCATATCTGCCATTGCTAGGAGTCTGGTCTAGGATCATGTTCATAGATTCTAGGAAGTTTCCATTACACTAGGTTTCTATCTCACCTCAGCAGTGCCCCTGATTCCAGCTGTCTTCTTCAGTACTCTCTCCTTCTATCCTCCCCACACCTAATCCCTCCTGTTCCCATGCCTACCCCTAGTTCAGACTTCTCCCCCATCCATCTGTGATGTCTGTTCTGTTTCCAATTCACAGTGAGATTCCTATGTTCCTCTCACTCACGTCTGGAGCCTTTCTTGTTACCTAGCTTCTTTGGGTCTGTGGATTGTAGCATGGTTATCCTTTATTTAACAGTTAATATCCACCTATAAATGAGTACATATCATGCTTGTCTTTCTTGGTCTGGGTTACCTCACTCAGAATGATCTTTTCTAGTTCCATCTATTTGCTGGCAAATTTCATGATGTCATTGTTTTTAACAGATGAGTAATACTCCATTGTGTAAATGTAACACATTTTCTTTCTTCACTCTTCATTTTATGGATGTCCATGTCATTTCCAGATTTTGGCTATTATGAATAAACCTGCTATGAAAATAGTTGTCGAAGTGTCCTTGTGGTATGTTAGAGCATCCTTTGGGTATACACCTGTGAGAGGTATAGCTCGGTCTTGAGGTAGGTCCGTTCCCAATTTTCTGAGGATCCACCACATTGATTTCCATAGTAGCTGCACAAGTTTGCATTCACACTGGCAATGGAGAAGTGTTCCCCTTGCTCTACATCCTCTCCAGCTTAAGCTGTCACTTATTGATATTAGCCATTCTGACAGGTGTAAGATGAAATCTCAGAGTCAGTTTGGTTTTCATTTCCCTGAGAGGTTGTTCAAGTGTTTCTTGGCCACTTAAGATTCCTCTGTGAGAATTTTCTGTTTATATCTATACCCCATTTTTAACTGGATTATTTGGTTTGTTGCTGTCTAGTTTTTTTATATATATTTTGGAAACTGGCCATTAGTCAGATGTTGCTTTTGTGAAGATCCTTTCCTATTCCATAGTCTGCAGTTCTTTCTCTCTTTTCCTTCCTTCCTTCCTACCTTCCTCTCTTCCCTTCTTTTTGTTTGCTTTTTAGACAGGGCCATTCTGTGTAACCACTCTGGATGTCCTGGAACTTGTTTTGTAGACTATGCTGAACTGGAACTCAGAGATCTGCCTCCCAAGTGCAGGGATTAAAGTCCTGTACCACCATCAACAGGCTCTTCAGGACTTTTATAATGAAAGGGTTTTGCATTTGTCAAAGGCCTTTTCTGCATCTACTGTGATGTAGGTTTTTTTCTTTTCTTTTTTTTTTTTTGCTCTCAGTTTTTTTATATGATGGAATACAGTTATTGATGTTCATATATTGACCTATCCCTGGGATGAAGTCTACTTGATTTTGTTGGGTTTTTGATGTGTTCTTGGATTTGGTTTGCCAGTATTTTGCTGAGTATTTTTGCATCAGTGTTCATAAGGGAAATTAATCTGTGTTTCTCTTTCTTGGTTGTGTCTTTATGTGGTGTGCGTACCATGGTAACTGTCGCATCATAAAATGAATTGGGCAAGCTTTCTTTTCTATTTTGTGGAGTTAGGTTTGAGCAATTAATGAGTATGAGTTACTTAATGCCACAAATGTGCTACCTGATACATAACCACAGGAACTCTATGGCAATGACTCTTTATTTGTCTGGGATCAGCACTGGCTCATGTCTAATAATGCTGATTGAGCTTGCTCAAGTGTCTGAGGGAAAGCTGACTCCTGCTTCCTTGAGATGGCCTCCACAGAGAGATGAAAGTCTTGACTACCATGGATCAGTTGTGTTCTATTCTCATCCTCCAGCAGGCTAGGCCTTCCATATTCCCTTAGAATAAAAAGTAGAAACATTCAGGAACTTTTGAGACCCAAACTCAAAATTGACAAACTGACATTTATGTATCTTTTTATTGGCCAGAAAAAAAAACTAGTTCAAGTGAATACAGAGCCATGGACTCTATATGGAAAGAACTTTGAGATCTACTAAAAATGTGAGAGACAGGTGACAGGAAGATTTAGTCATGAACAGAATTGTCTTCCACAATAGAACATGGAAGAGAGACAGCAACCCAAGCTACTTGCAATCTCTGCCCCTGTATTTCCCAGTGTGTTAGAGAATTCCAGTATTAGACCTCTTCCCTCTTTATGTTCTGACTTAAACATGAAGACCTTGTAAGGAAAGAGGAGATAAAAAGAGCACAAACCTTACAGGTGTTTGAGTGACAGTTATGATTTTTTTCACTGTTTGACACATAGTGATTTCCCACTACTAAAGTAGGCATTCATCTTGAGATTAGCACCCTTTCTCCTCTTTATTGTGTGCAGAGATTTGCTAAGTGTGCAGAAACCCTCATTCTCAGTACTAGTCATGGAATCTCAGCAGGTGGCTTACTACTCCAGGACTGATTCATAAATTATCCCATATACAATCTTCCCCTCTCTGCAGTCACCACTGAATACAAACTATCCTGAGAACAGAGTTGTGGAATAAACCAGCAGGTTAGATCAGCACCCCTTTATCCTCTGTCTTGACCTGATCAATACATTAGAGTGTACAATGGACAAACTTAAACCACCCGAAGCTACTGTGCAAGTATCCTTTAGCATCATACATTCATTTTCTTCCTAGACTTTTACTAAAAAATAAAAGTAATAGCACAAATCACTTGCCACCTTACCCAGGAAATAATTATTTTAAATATATATTTTTATTATAGGTCTACTATCTGTGTCAAATGAAGACAAAGTCTTTGTTTACAGTTATTAGGGTACACCCGTGTCTTATCATTACCCTCACTGATCCATCCCTGTAAGTTACAATCCAGACAGGAAAGGAAATTGAGACACTGAGGCTCTAAACAGTAAGGAGATTTTGAGTGTTATCTCCATGACATTGGCAGTGCCTTCTCTGGGCTCAATGTTTAACTTCTACTAACATGCAGAGATACTGCAAAAAAAAAAAAAAAAAAAAAAAAAGGCTCCTAGCCATGTATTCAAAGATTTACACAAAAGCAACTTGGTACCAAGGAAGTAAGGAAAGAAGGCCAGATGGGGATGACTTGAAGGTGCTGCTTTCATTGCACTGACAGTGCAATATTTATGATCGCATAAAATTGCTAGGAACAGGAAGTTGATGGAAGCCATTCCTGTAGGACCCAGCCAACACCGTTGTTCACCTTTTGCTAAGCCATCTTCTTCTTTAGTCTGACAAGTGGGGAAGGGAGAGAGTAGATGGCCATTCATACATGTATGGTGGGAAACACCAAGCTTTTGCCTGTATGTTCATACTGCATGGCTGCCAGCTGTCACACGGCTTCTAACAAACATGAAAACATCAGGAACAGGTATGCTGGATGTCAACATGAGGGATGATTGCAAATGGCTGTTTTCTTGCATTCTGTCATCACACTAATGGGCTTAAGAAATCTAGATTTTCATTTTCTAGAAATAAACAACATAAAATTCAAATAAGCAGGAATGAACAGAAACCCACCAAGAGAAACTTGTAAATAAATTCATAAAGTTCCATCTACTTCATTTCAACCAATGAAGCCTGAATGAGAGGGCCTTCTTAATTAGAACTGCAGTAAGCCACACACTTTTGTCAGAGCTGTGGGCTCCCTTATTTAAAGAAAGCTGGATTCTGAAGAAGACTGAGGGAACAACCATGACAGGGCCATATAAAATACTTCCTCAGGCCACTGGATCTCAACCTTATGACAATATTTTCTTCCTAATGAGCCTTAACATTTCAGTTTTCTGTTCCTACCTGAAATAATTTCTCTTCTGCAAGAAAGCAAATCCTAGGATGAGCAGAATAATCCCCAAAAGGGAAAGTTTTGCATAGAGAATGGTCAGCAAGGAATGCAGAGGGCTGGTGACACCTTTAACAACAGGCAAGAATAAAAATTCAGGTCAGTTCAGTCATAGTGCTAATCAAGAAATTAAAAGCAAACAACTTTAAAATCACTTACAGTGTATCTAAAGTTTTAGAGAATGTCCAAATCAGAAAACCTTATCAATTATAATTCAAATAACACTCAGATGTCATTATTTCCGGATCAAGTTGAGAAATAAAGACCAGCTTTTTTGCTTGGTAAGCATTAACAAATATTTTAAGGTGAATAAATGCCCACTAAGTATTGCTAATACTTCCTAGTTATATAAGGAAAAAGTTCCCATGCAAATATTATTTTATTTTATGAACATATAAGTACATCATTTCCATCCATTCATCTCTTCCTCCAACATTTGGTTTTTATTTTTGGTTTTTATTCTAAATGACTTACATGTTCTAAATACAAACCCTCTGCCAACTCTGTAATTAGCAAATATGTTTCCCACTCTATAGGCTGCCTCTGTAGCCAGTTAAGAGTTTCCTTTGCAGTACAGAAACTTCAATCCCATTTAGTTCCACTTGCAGATCCTTTTCTTATTTTCTAAGCAACCAGAGTCCTATTTAGAAAGTCCTTACCTGAGCCTATACCCTGCACTGTACTCAGTGAACCCCCTGCTCTTTATTCTGCAAGTTTTAGAGTAACAGGTGTAACAATGAGATCCTTGCTACATTCGGGATTTATTTGTGTGCAATGAGAAGAATTGAGTTTCATTTCAACATGTAGATATCCTATTTTCCCAACACCATTTTTAAAGGTGCCATTTTCTTCAGTGAATGTTTTTTGAATTTTTGTGAAAAAATCGGGTGGCTATACACACATGGATCAATTCTGTTCCATTAATCAATATGTCTAGTTTTGTTCTGATACCATTCTGGTTTTGCCACTTTCCCTGCATAGTAGATCCTGAAATTGGGTCTGATGATACTTCTAGTGGTTGTTGTTGTTGTCCTTATTGTTCTAGATGACTTACAAGACACCAAACAATGCTAAGCAAGGAAGACATGCTCTAAACATCTGAAGCATCAGAATGGTTCCTCAGTACCAGCTCCAGGTCAGGGAGAGATGGAATTAGGATAGCATCTTGCTGACCTACTAGATGGAAGAGATTAGGGGAGGGCTCTTCTGGGAAAGAGAGCAACTGGAAAAACCATCAGAAAATGAATTAACCTAAATTCTGTTGGGAACACAGAAAGGGAAATGTGGAGATTAGAGCTATAATGATCAGAACCTAATTACAGGTAAGTATGTCAGGTGACACATCAGACTTTGGAAATGCAGAACAAAACAACATAGTTCTTACTCTTGAGATTCTTCTACTGCGATCAGAGAAGTAGATTTTTGAGATATAATAAGAAATAAGAAACCATTATAGTGGCTCACACCTTGACTCCCAGCAGCGGGATTAAATGCAGGTGGAGGCAGAGGCAGGTGGATCTCTGTGAATTCCTGGCCATCCTGGTCTGCATAATGAGTACCTCCTAGGACTAGGTACTAGGATCCTATCTCAAATAAACAAACAAAAAAATCTTAAAATTCAAAATAAAAAAGAAATACATAGATGGTCTTTGTTCTCCACATCCTGAAACACAGCTCCTAGAATAATTGTCACGATAATAAAAATACCTTTAATATGCCAGGAAGATTATCAATGTCTAGAAGCTCTTAGAGAGCTTCATGGTGGGGACTGTCACCAGAAAGACTAAATTGTGGTTAGAGAATTCGGATTTAGAACCAGAATCTACCACCATCACCACCATTGACTTGTTGTGAAGGAAGAGTGGCTAGAGATTGAGTCAATCACCAATGATCAATAATTAGCTATAGTGACTATGCAACAAAATCTTATTAGCAATCCTAAACACTACAGTTTGAAAGGGTTCATTATGGAAAACTGGAAGAACAGAAGTCCTTGTCTGTCCCCCTGTTGCAGTCTTTATAATAAACCACCAATAGTAAGCAAAGTGCATCCTCAGTTCTGTGAACCATTCTACCAAATCACTGAGCCTGAGACATACAGAAACATCCTGAATTTATAGCTAGTTGATAAGAACTGCAGGTGATAGATAACTGAAAACTTGTTACTAATGTCTGGAGTGGGTCATTGTCCTAGTTAGCTTTAACTTTCTATTTCACACAGCCTAGATCCACCCAAGAGGTCCGTACACTGTAGATGGCACCATTCCCTGGGCATGTGAAATACCTTGGCATAGGTCTGAGGAGCTAGCAAGCAGCTTCATGGTTTCTGCCTGAGTTGTCTTGACTTTCCTCTTTCCTCCCCTAAGTGGATTTTGGCCACAGTATTTGTCACAAATGGAATGAAATTAGAATGCTTCTCTTTCATAAAAGAAGAAGTTAAATATCAATGATTTCTTCTTTTAAAAAGGAGGAGGTACTCACCTTGATTCAGTTCTATGGACAGAGTCTGGTTGCCAGTCGGATGGGAGACAAAGCAGAACACAGCAGACACATTGCTGTGCTCCCCATGGTATGTGCTCCTCACAGTCACAGTGCCATTGCTGTGTGATTCATTCTTAGTCACATGATACCCATCTGGGGTCCAAGAGATCTGAGCAGCAGGCTTGCCTGCAATGGCCTCACAAACTGCAGCTCTCTTTTCCCCTGGAATCAGGGTTACTTCAGGGGGGACTGTGGACACAGAAGGAAAAGAGACTCAGCCTTGTCACAAATTCCAAAGGCATTTGATTCTGTTTAAAATCTGGTGGCCTGAAATACCACAATGTGTGACAAGTTGCTTACCTAGAACTTGGAGGTCATGTATCTGTTTGAAATGCCCTTCAGGTGATGCCATCTGACATAAATAATGCCCCTCATGACTGAGGGCCACTGTATTGATCTGAAGGTCAGGACTCTGGTCAGGTGTGAAGGCCCAGGTGATTCTCCTGTCCGTACAGTTGACTTCACCAATCTCCTTTGTTTCTACATTGTAGAATATTTTGCAGGGAGGCTGGCCTCTGAGGGTTATTTTCCACGTTATTAATACTACTGGCTTTGTCCATGAAATAGGAGGGCAGCACAGCAGAGCCTTTGTACCCATCAGTACAGACACTGGAGCGCTATCTGGACACACACACAAAGAGAACGAGAAAGGGAAACCTGTGAGCTAAGTCTGTCCACAGTAGCATATATAAAGTTACACTAGAGCATTGTTTGGCTAATGAATGTTTTCCAGAAAAAATAGATTTTTCTCATATTTCTTTTTCTATATGTTCAATCTATTAGAGAATTAAATACATTTTCACCTTCTAATGTAAAAAATACAAGGCCTCTGGCCTACACACATCTTGTACCATAAAATCTCACAGTGCCTGTACATAGACTTAAAGAGCCCATGAGGGATACAAGTTTTCTGAGTGGTGATTACTTAACAAAATTATCTGTTACACTCACCTGTGGCAAAAAGTCAATCAAGTCATCACTCTAACAGGAGCAGAAATTGCTTGCTTCTGATAAACATTGTATTAACTATCTCAACCATTCTATTTCAATGGTACTTGCTCTTTGGAGTCCTCAAGTCCTCACATCACATCCAGATAAGGGTCATCGAATTAGATGGTGAAGGGTTCTTTAATGCAGACCTGGAATGGTGCTAATCCCATAGCCTTTCTTACTCTAAGGCAGCAAAGCTTTAGAAGGATCAGTTCACCGTCCCTTAAACCAAAAACCTCACATCACTGGATTATCCCATTCATCCTGAATCTGTCCAGCATCCAAGGCATTAGCTACTATTTCTAAGCAAGGTGAACTCTCCATTCCCTCAGTACAGGCCACAGACAAAGAAAAATAGTACCTTCTGATACAGGCAATGAACTATTCTATGTCATTTGATTCCAATCAATACCTGAACATCTTGACTCTAAAAAATATTTAAATAAGAGTTTTAAATATTTAAGTGATTATAAAATAGTAATTAGAAGTCATATCATTATAAAATAGTAATTAGAAGTCATATCATATGTCAACATCTTTAAAACTAGATTTATGATATATTGATTAAGTATTTCTCATTTATGAGTAACCCTATTTTGTCAAATTGTTTGTAGAGTAGCCCTGCTTTCTTTCTTCCAACCCCTTGCTAGGCAGGCATAACAGATGAGCTGACATGATTAAACTCCTTTCTCCAGATGTCATCTGTTGGGGGGATATTCAGTCACACTGTGAAGACCAACTGTGCATTTGCATTGATTAAATGAAATTAATCTAGTTTCAGGAGACTGAGTTAGCAGCTAGTTCACAGAAAGTAAACATGGAACATCACAGGGCATCCTGCAGAGATAGACACAGGAAATAGTAGGGAGAGGTTTGGAATGCACTGCTTTTTTTTTGTTTGTTTGTTTTGAAAGAGTGGAAGTACTCATGTTTTTGGAAACACCAGCAAGGAGAGAAGTTTGGCTGGTTGTAAACCAGCTTCTTTGAGCTAGCAGGTTTTCTTTATGTTGTTGTTTGCTTGCTTGTTTCCATTTTTTATTTAAAACAAAATTGTTTTACATGTCAATCCCAGTTTCCTCTCCCTCCCCTTCTCCCCCCCCCCCCCCCCCC